CGCCAATGTAGCCATCTGTTGATATCTGATATGAGTTCACCACTGTAACCTTCTGTTGATATCTGATATGAGTTCACCACTGTAACCTTCTGTTGATATCTGATATGAGTTCACCAATGTAACCATCTGCTGATATTTGGGCCAGTTGCAGACTTCTCTTTCGCCAGTAGGCTACATTCAAACAAGGGACCTTTCAGTATCTTTTAGAGTTATGTCTAGTACAGGCCATGTTGTCTATTTCTCAACAAACGGTGATTCAATTTGATATGTGAGATTAAGAGGTGATCCCTGTAAACTGGCGAGTCAACATTAATGTATGTGGCACCTCTGGTCTGTATTTTGATTCAGGAATGAAGTTTTAATTAGCATTGTTTACCTAAATCATTTCAACCAATAACGATAAAGCATACTAACCAGCCAGCCAAACTGATTGGTGGAAAGATTCAATTACATGGCATTAAACCAGATGGTCACGTGTGCAGGTTTATGACAAAATTGTGGGCGAGAATTTTTTATTTCTGCAGACGAGCTGTGTGTGTATATGTATGAACACAGAATAAATATTATTTTTATTTGTTAAATTCTATTGACACTAAATGCCAAGATAACAGCAGCTTTACGTGTTTCACACAAGCTAGTCACGCACAGGAATGAGATAGAACACATGGCACGTATCTTTGGCATTCACACTGAACTACAACGAGTTATATTTAAGTACCCATATCTGGTTTAGAACCACTGGAAACGTTGGAACTTCTCCGTAACGCACGATAAAGAGCACATTCATTTGAGATTTACCATTGACAGTGGATATTAAGATAACGAGAGTTTCTTCAGTTGTTGTACGGGGTTCAATCAGCTAACCACGTGTTGCGATTGTGAAACAGGAGACATTGTTCAGTGTTTGCTGATTCAATTAATGAACGTCCTCATCCATAGATGTCCTGAAGATAGGTGAAGGCATAAAATACTCGAATCATTTAGGAAATGCCATTGACATATTTCACGAGAAGTAAAAGTTAGAAGACGAAGAGATAGCCCGGTGTCAGTTTCGAGATATCCAGGTTTCAGTGTTGTGGTACGTTATGGAACTATATTCCATACCAGAGAGAGAAAGCTATAGCTACAAACTTCAGTAGACGCCGAGAAGAAACTTTATCCATTATCATGAGAGATCGGTGATGTTCTATATCATAATTTAGAAATAAACTTTGAAATCTGAAGTTGTTCATTTTGACTAGTTGTGGAAACAAACGTTCTGAGAAGACAGCAAACCAGTCTTCTGTGAAAGGGACTAACATTGATTCTGAGAAGACAACAAACCAATCTTCTGTAGAAGGGACTAACATTGATTCTGAGAAGAAGATAAACCGGTTTTCTGTGGAAGGGGCTAACATTGATTCTGAGAAGACAATAAATCAATCTTCTGTGGAAGGGACTAACATTGATTCTGAGAAGACAACAAGCCAATCTTCTGTGGAAGGGACGACTAACATTGATTCCGAGAAGACAACAAACCAATCTTCTGTGGAAGGGACTAACACTGATTCTGAGAAGACAACAAACCAATCTTCTGTGGAAGGGACTAACATTGGTTCTGAGAATAAGATAAACCGGTTTTCTGTGGAAGGAACTAACATTGGTTCTGAGAAGAAGATAAACCAGTCTTCTGAGAAGACAACAAACCAATCTTCTGTGAAAGGGACTAACATTGATTCCGAGAAGACAACAAACAATCTTCTGTGGAAGGGACTAACATTGATTCTGATAAGACAACAAACCAATCTTCTGTGAAAGGGACTAACATTGATTCCGAGAAGACAACAAACAATCTTCTGTGGAAGGGACTAACATTGATTCTGATAAGACAACAAACCAATCTTCTGTGGAAGGGACTAACATTGGTTCTGAGAAGAAGATAAACCGGTTTTCTGTGGAAGGGACTAACACTGATTTTGAGAAGACAACAAACCAGTCTCCTGTGGAAAGGATTAACATTTATAAGAACTCTTTGAAAAAGGGATTCATACAAGAAGGCGAAATTACAGGTAACGTGGTTCGTGATATCAAGCTGACTAAAAATAGACCTCTCTCTCCTTACAAAAAACAACAACATTTGAAAGATAAAGGGAAGATCAAAAAACAAAAACTCAAACTCATTTAACAACATCCTAAATTCAAAGCATTCTCAGCTTAATACGGTTATAACTGTAATGATTAGGTTAATTCACCATTGCTGTGCAACAAACCATTAACGTGACATAACACCTCATGGACTTGGTCCGTGAACAACTTAACTTTGTTTAATGTTAAGCATAAAGCTACACAATAGACTATTTGTGTTCTGCCCATCACGGGTATCGAAACCAGATATTTAACGTTGTAAGCATGGAAACTTACCGCTGAGCTACTGGAGAGAGAACAACTTAATAGTTTTAGTATTGTAAGAATAATAAAAAAACAGTCCTAAGAGTTTTAATGTTTAGTTTGCGTGTGTTTTCTTATAGCAAAGCCACATCAGGCTATTTGTTGTGTCTACCGAGAAGAATCGAACCCCTGATTTTAGCATTGTAAATCCGAAGACTTATCACTGTCCCACCGGGGGACTTTAATGTTTAGAGGAGTGACTTTATTTCAAGGAACGATTAAATTTATTGAAACTTTCTGTGATTTTGCCTTGCACAAACTTGTAGAAGTTGTTTGCACAAGGTTCTTTAACTCTAAACGTAAATTTTTTTTTTCAACAAACCAAATAATAATTAATTGTAAAATTTAATTGAAACTTTCTTAGATTTATCCGAAACAACAATGTTTGAGAATTTATAAAAATAAGTTATACTGATTTTGGATAATATTTTAGATCTCAAAATGTTTTGCAATTTTCATTTTTTCAAAGGCTAACCTAACCTAACCTAACTTAATTCGAACCAATTATTGACAAGATGAATATGTCTGTTGGTCAGGGTTATCAGTTCGAATCAATTATTGACAAGATGAATATGTCTATTGGCCATGGTTATCAATTCGAACCAATTATTGATAAGACGAATATGTCTATTGGTCAGGGTTATCAGTTCGAACCAATTATTGACAATATGAATATGTCTATTGGTCAGGGTTATCAATTCGAACCAATTATTGACACGATGAATATGTCTATTGGTCAGGGTTATCTATTCGAACCAATTATTGACAAGATGAATATGTCTGTTGGTCAGGGTTATCAATTCGAACCAATTATTGACAAGATGAATATGTCTATTGGTCAGTGTTATCAATTCGAACCAATTATTGACAAGATGAATATGTCTGTTGGTCAGGGTTATCAATTCGAACGAATTATTGACAAGATGAATATGTCTATTGGTCGAGTTATCAATTCGAACCAATTATTGACAAGATGAATATGTCTGTTGGTCAGGGGTATCAATTCGAACCAATTATTGACAAGATGAATATGTCTATTGGTCAGGGGTATCAATTCGAACCAATTATTGACAAGTTGAATATGTCTATTGGTCAGGGTTATCAATTCGAACCATTGTCAAGATGAATATGTCTATTGGTCATGGTTATCAATTCGAACCATTGACAAGATGAATATGTCTATTGGTCATGGTTATCAAGTCGAACCAATTATTGACAAGATGAATATGTCTGTTGGTCAGGGTTATCAATTCGAACGAATTATTGACAAGATAAATATGTCTATTGGTCAGGGTTATCAACTCGAACCAATTATTGACAAGATGAATATGTCTATTGGTCAGGGTTATCAATTCGAACCAATTATTGACAAGATGAATATGTCTATTGATCATGGTTATCAATTCGAACCATTGATAAGGTGAATCTATCTTTTGTGCATTGTTATCCGATAAAGGCTCCGGTAAGACGGCTAAAAGCTCGCAATAAAAGTATTTTAACGTAGAGAAAAGTATGTTTATAATTATATATACCAAGACATGTTTATAAACCTTGCAACAACAACAACAGAGACTTAGCAAAAAATGTTCAGTAAAACTGACGTCACGAACCCGACCTTCACCGATTATTACCGAGCGAAAAGTTCAGAATTTTACATCCACATACTATCAAAATTAATAGTCAGTTTCTCAATTAATAAACATTTATTGCGCGAGATATAATCGTTTTTGGCACTGTTCTTATAATACATGCTAAACCAAAAAGTTTTATTTTTGAAATATAAGGATGGTTTTATAAGATTTGTATTACTGTTGTTCTCAGTGACATTCTTCTGTCTGGAGGTTTGTAATGGACATTTTTGAGTATGTATGCTGTGCCCTTCAGTGTTACTCGGTTAGTTTTTCTACTGATAATCTTTATCAAATAAATTTTGAAATATTATGTTTAACAATTCATGAAGTATCTATTACATTACATTCGCGTATAATCTTGCTTAATATATTAATTCTGGTGGCGACATCTAGCGAAGGTTGTCTTAGCATATGTTATAATTGATATTTAAGTGAGTTTAATATACAGTTTAAACTTTTATTAATTATAAGGTTAAAAAGCATGCAACTCAAAGTAGAAAAAGCTGTAATCAAAGACACCTTAATGTGTTGTTCATTTTCAGGTGACAAGTTTTACAATAATATGTCGCTGTATACAGAAGAATTTCACCTCTGTGCAGAAATCTAATCAAATGTTCTTAATTGCAGGAAACATCTTCCGACTAAAAATGTTTCGGGAAGAACAGGGGACGTGGATGATAATGTTTCTCACCGTCATCATCTTCGTTTACATTTTTTCTCTTGTTTACAATGCCTTCCTCCTGTCTAGCTATACCAACCCTGAGCCCTACAGAATCACGGGAAGGATGGGTATCACCAACATGAGCTTCATGAAGGTTGCGGCGTCCGGTACCTGGCTAGGAGATTTTTTCACGGCTTGGATGGTGGGTTTCAAAAAAACAAGACTCCCTCACTTCAGGAGAGGCTCAAGCGTTGCCTAGTGGTTAGCGTATTGGGCTGCGGATCGAAAGGTCCGAGGCTCGAGACGTGATGCTGTTGAACGTGCTCTGCATTTTCAGTTTTTAGGGTATATTATAAAAGTGACAACCAATCTCATTATTCTGACAAAACCTTTCGGCAGGGGGTGCTGCTGGTTGACTGTGGTTAGTAATTCAAAGTTGGGAACAGCTACACCTGAATTCTAAGGGTCTCTAGCCTGGCCGTTTATATTGTCCCTATTTAAACAATTCCAATTCCTCTTGTATGACTCTAAATACTTTAGAGTTTAAATGTCGAAACTTGGCAAAGCATTTAAAACGAATGGGAACGTGCCTAAATTTTGTGACAAATCACGCTAACTAATGGGAACGTGCTTAAATTTTGTGACAAATCACGCTAACTAATGGGAACGTGCCTAAATGTTGTGACAAATCACGCTAACGAATGGGAACGTGCCTAAATTTTGTGACAAATCACGCTAACTAACGGGAACGTGCCTAAATTTTGTGACAAATCACGCTAACTACAGATATTTTCACCATTTTGAATCCAAAATTGACGAATTAAAAAGAATGTGGGGGAAAAAAGCTGTATTTAGCGTAGTTTTTTGACAAGTTTTAGGCCTATTGATTTTTAAATTGTATAATCACAGCAAAATACTTGATCGATGAAAGTATAAAAACTGAATACTTCTGTTCAAACAAATATTTGTTGATTTAGAGAACTGTAAACTCACTGAACCTAATGTATACGTAGGATGTATCAAATGAGCACCATGCACGTGTATTATCAAGTTTTGATTACAGGATTGACCCTGCGTTTGTATTTCGTTCCCAGGCTTCTGTAAAATATTCGCAAGCGGGCTATTAACTTCATAATATTTAAGTGAGATAGAAAAAACCTTACAGAATAATTCTTTTACATACAAGTGTTTCGTGAGTTTTGAATAATTATTTTGTTTTCCTGTAAGATCATTACGTACCCATATTATTTTTATTTGCCACTATTCGGAAGTTGGTAAATAGGAACTTTATACACTATGTGGAAGTAGGTAAATAGGAACTTTATACACTATATGGAAGTAGGTAATTTGGAACTTTATACACTATTCGGAAGTTGGTAAATAGGAACTTTATACACTATTCGGAAGTTGGTAAATAGGAACTTTATACAAATACGGAAGTAGGTAAATAGGAACTTTATACACTATTCGGAAGTAGGTAAATAGGAACTTTATACACTATTCGGAAGTTGGTAAATAGGAACTTTATACACTATTCGGAAGTTGGTAAATAGGAACTTTATACACTATATAGAAGTAGGTAAATAAGAACTTTATACACTATATAGAAGTAGGTAAATAGGAACTTTATACACTATTCGGAAGTTGGTAAATAGGAACTTTATACACTATATGGAAGTTGGTAAATAGGAACTTTATACACTATATAGAAGCAGGTAAATGGGAACTTTATACAAATACGGAAGTAGGTAAATAGGAACTTTATACAAATACGGAAGTAGGTAAATAGGAACTTTATACACTATATGGAAGTTGGTAAATAGGAACTTTATACACTATATGGAAGTAGGTAAATGAGAACTTTATACAAATACGGAAGTAGGTAAATAGGAACTTTATACAAATACGGAAGTAGGTAAATAGGAACTTTATACACTATATGGAAGTTGGTAATTAGAAACTTTATATTGGGAAGTTGTATTAGCTTCACCTTTCATATACTGGAAGACGTTTTATTTAGAGGTTACCATTATACAACGAAAGTTATTTTCTTTAGAAACTACATTTACACAATACTGATGTTAGCATGTACAAACTCCTTCATATAGTGTTAGTTTTACATTTAGTAACTACTTTAATACATTGTTAGTCTATCTTTAGAAACTACTTTAATACATTGTTAGTCTATTATTAGAAACTACTTTCATACTTTATTAAGCTTTATCTTTACAAATTATTTTCATACGCTGTTATTTTTTACTTTTAAAAGTAACTTTTTCACATTGTTAGGCCTTACCTTTTACAAACTACTTTAATACATTGTTAGGCCTTACCTTTACAAACTACTTTAATACATTGTTAGGCCTTACCTTTTACAAACTACTTTCTTACATTGTTAGATTTTACCTTTTACAAACTACTTTAATACATAGTTAGGCCTTACCGTTGCAAACTACTTTAATACATTGTTAGGCCTTACCTTTACAAACTACTTTAATACATAGTTAGGCCTTACCTTTGCAAACTACTTTAATACATTGTTAGGCCTTACTTTTACAAACTACTTTCTTACATTGTTAGGCCTTACTTTTACAAACTACTTTTATACATTGTTAGGCCTTACCTTTACAAACTACTTTAATACATTGTTAGGCCTTACCTTTACAAACTACTTTCTTACATTTTTAGGTGTTAC